GTCGTGTAGAGCTGGGAGGTCTCTCATTTTAACCAGAAATTTGCGTGCTACAATCATGTCTCATTAAGAAAGGTTTTGGTTACTTTTTAGAGTTTTTGAAAAACTGGTTTTCCAGAAAACAGCTCTACGAAGGCCTCTGGGCAGCTATTACTGTGATATTTGGGTTCAACATAGTTCATAGCCTATAACCCACTAGGTTTGGCTGAAAAAGCGATGTGACAGTTCGCGAGAACCCTTCGTTAGAGTCATCCATTCATAACTATCAGAACTTCTATTCAACTCATTCAGAGCTACAGGTGCCGACTAGAACTGGGCAAATCAGAACTTTTTCAAGTCTCAAGTCAAGTCAAGTCAGAGTTATCAAAAATTTTTGTCAGATCAAGTCTGACTTGATTTATCCAGCTCTAGTGCCGACAACCTAATTTTTGTATAGATGAACTCGAAAAGAACCCAATAAACACCTCCCATATTTTCTTTATGATATTGTTTATTTCTTACTTGACAAACGTGAATTGTCATTTGCTTGTTGCGGTTCACTTGATTGTTGGGTAAAAAGAACATTACGTGAATCCACAATTGTTTGAGAATTCCATTCGTCAATTGCACGTTCATCATCGGACGGATCGTTTGATTTGATACTCATTAGTACTTTAAGTTATATAAGCACATACAAAAATAATATTGTTTTAGAAATCAAACAATGTGTAACTGTTTGTGTGCGTGTGCGTGTGTGTGTGTATGGGTAAAGAAGTATACCAAAAGGAAAAATCAGATAATACAGGGAGTGAAAAAAATGGAATGATAAATCTAAAAAACGGTTTAAAAATTAGATTAGTGATTTTAAGAGTGCATCCATCGAAATCATCTTTGCTTTTTTCTCAAAAACGATTTTCGGTGGCTGTATTCTGTAAAATAAAATATGTGATCGTTATTAGTGCATAGTTTACTGTGTGCAACTGTCTTTTGATAAACTAAACACGGTGTTAAAAGAAACTAACTCGGTGTTGTTGCATTGGAATCAAAAGTGAGAAGAGTTATTTTTTCTTAACTAATGTGACGATCTGATTCAAACTTTTCACAATATTATTTGCGATTTGTCACGTACCATGACAAATTCAATATGATATAAAGCTAATCATATGGCATTAAAAGACAAAAGAACTACATTTGAATCGATCGTAGATTATATTACATTGTTAAAATTATAATTCTTTTCTCGAAAAAAAAATAATAATAATAACAAATTCAAATTACGAAAGATTAGTAATTCATGTGTAATACAATAAATGGAGAACACTTGATCTTAATAAACAAATAGTTACAACCATAAATTTGTATATATGATTATTTTTATAATACTACTAAACAGTAAACAATTCAAGGACACTTAATATAAATAAGGTTACTGATGTCTTTCATTATAATCTTACACAATATAAGGTTTGATTGAGTTATTGGCATTTAAAAACAAAAAAATACTATATATTTTTATGAAAAAATTACTTTTTTATGTCAGACGTAGAAAATGAAAGATGGTTTTCTTTCCCTCTCAGAAATGAACACCAGATTAAACGTGCATAAAAGAAAAGAGAAATGTTTTCCGGTTTAGCTTCTTAATAAGAAAAGGAAGACATTTTTTTATTATCATATTAGTTCAAAGACTAAAATACCTACTGAAATTTCCTTTTATAATGTGTCTAGGGCTTCTTTTTTCATCCTGTTTTTTTACTTTGAACAATATTGAATTGTTTTTTTTCTAATAGAAAAACCTTGATATCTTCTGATATAGTCCAATTTACATAAAATAAGTAAACCTCTATAAGATTCTTGTATATTATTAAAAAAAAAATAAATGGTTGATTTATTTTCTTCGTCTATTCTAACAACGACAGAGAGAATTAGTTCTTAAAGCTTATATATAATTAATTGTCTGCTTAAAATTTTAATGGAAAGATAAGTAGAAAAAAAATTGAAAATTGAAATGATCATTTAAGAAAAAAAAATATTGCGTACATTAATAGTTGATTAGCATCGATCAATAAATCGGAACTATAGACATTTCTAGAAAAAGGTACACTTTGTTTATTGTTCTATAAAATCTACTTCCTTCATACATTTCAATGATCGTCGTCAATGTCAACACACATTTGATGATTTTAAATTTAATAGTTGAGACGATAGGTTTTTTTCACAAAGATATCACTTGATTAAAGCCAATCAGAAAAGTTCTTCTCTCTAATCTCTAATTTTGCTGCTTCTTTGTGTTCTCTTCTGCAATGTGAGAAAAAAATCTGTTTTTTAAACTATGAAAACATCAAGCAACATACACTCCAAGCAAACAATTACTCATCTACCTCAAAATTTCAATCGATTCATTTTGTGACAATATTAAAAATTCATTTCATAGACATAAAATCTTATATAGTATTAAATTCGTTTAATTTCGAAAAAGATCAACCATTTGTTCCATTTCTTTTATTTTATTTTTATAATAATTTATTTTGTTTAACATAGTTGTTTGTCATAAAACACAAGAAAAAAAAATCGATAGTTTCACTTGTACTGGATTTTTATTATTTTTGTTTCCAATTTTTTTTAAAATAAAGTTTTAAAATATAATAAGAACCTAAAAACGGAAGAGATTTTGTTAACTACAATTCTTAAAAACAAACAAAAACCTCGATGTATTGACACTTTTAAATAATAATCTTTTTTCTGTATATTTACGGCGAGCTAATGAATAAAAAACGAAATAAATCACGAAAAACTGATTTCAAACCTAATCTGGTCAGATAAAAAAAGGGAAAAAGACTGAATAAACTGATAATAAATATTAAACTAAATGTCTCAAATCTCGATATATAACGAGATTATGAATGATTGCCTATGTATTCATCCATGTTGTCTTGTTGCAATTCGTTCATTGTCTTGTGTAAGTTGAAGACCAATATTTTGCCATACATGTGTTAAAGATTGAACGAGATAATCAATCATTGCTGATGTATGATGTGGCGTGGGAGCTATACGTAAACGTTCAGTGCCACGTTCAACTGTTGGATAATTAATTGATTGAATGTATAGTGAATATTTGCTTAATAAATCATTACATAATTCAGTAGCTATTGCTGCATCTCCAACCTTAAAGAAAGAACATTTTAAAAAAAACCGAAAAAGAAGTCTGCTAAATCATACATGTATCGGAATAATATGACTAGGAGCAACCATAACGGGTAAACCAGCATCAATCAACTTTGATCGTAATTCACAAACATTTTCTTGCTGTTTCTGACGCAAATAGCGCCCTTCATCACTCATTGAAATCTGCATACGAACAATCACAAATACACAATGATAGATAGAGTATGTAGTATGTAGCTGAGACAAACCTCAATGGCAGCGGTAGCACTAGCTAATACTGTTGGCGGTAAAGATGTTGTAAAGATAAAACCTGAACCATAACTTCTTATAAAATCGGTCATTTTTGATGTACTCGCTATGTAACCACCAATACTTCCAAAAGCTTTACCTGTAAGAAAGAGGCATTAATCTAATACCAAGCACATTAGTTTGGTTTTGAAATACGTACCTAGTGTACCAGAGATAATGTCCATTTTATGTAGTACCTGATCACGTTCACCTACACCTGCTCCATTTTCACCATAAAGACCAACAGCATGTACTTCATCAATAAATGTTATTGAACCATACCGATGGGCTACATCAATCATCGATTCCAAATCACAAATGGAACCTGAAATCGAACTGATATTAGTAAACTAAAAAATTTTAAAACTCTTTGTTTTACCATCCATTGAGTGTACAGTTTCAAATGCGACTATTTTTGGTACATGTTGTGGTATTTTCTTAAGTAAATGTTCTAGATGTTCAATATCATTGTGTCGAAAGATATGCTTCGGCACTTGACTATTTCGTATGCCTTGTATCATCGATGCATGATTACCGCTATCAGAAAATATTTGACAATTTGGTAATAATTTTGCTAGTGTGAATAATGTTGTATCATTTGCCACATAACAAGATGTAAATAACAAGGCAGCTTCTTTCTGATGTAAACGTGCTAATAATTTTTCAAGATTATCATGTAACGGAGTTGTTCCAGATATATTTCGTGTACCACCTGAGCCTGATCCGTGCATGTTAACAGTATCTCTATACATTAAAAAACATTTAGTTGATCTAACCTTTACCTATCGTTGAATCTAATGAAAATCTACTTACATAACTGCTCTTTTCAGTTTCGGATGTTGTCCTAAACCTAAATAATCGTTACTACACCATATAGTAATCAACCGTGTATCATCGTCCGTCTTTTCTTCTGCTTGTGGAAATAAACCACTTTGCCGTTGAACACGTTTAAATATACGATAGGAATTGTCACGTTTTTTCTCTTCAATTTTCTCGTTAAAAAATGCCTGATATTCAAATGATTTTGGTTTCGATGCTTCTACTGTTGTTACTGTTGCTGTTTTTCCTGTTTGTTAAAAAATCAAATTTATACTTACACGATAATATTTAAAAGTGAATTTTTACCGAAATTTTCGTTAATTTCAATTGTATCTTCATCCAGGGGGGTTCGTTTGAGCATAATTGGTGTTTTTTTAAGAAATGGACATTGTAGATCTTGACATTCCGTTGAAATAATAACTAAAGTAGATACATCGTCTGACAATAACAATAACTCAAGAATTTTGCAAGTCAGTCTTGTTCAAGAATAATTTTAAATTCCTTTACTTATAATTCTACATATCACAATCGATACGATCCAAAGAAAACTGTCTTTGTGCAATTAGCCCAGTTTCTAGACAAGTATCGTAAAAAGTTTTAAGACATAGTCAACGTACTGTCTCCATAGGAATGTGGGTACGGTTCTTTCGGTGCTGCTGTTGATTGTTTCTTTGGTAATTCATGCATTGGCTTCACCGCTAACGACTGTTTTTGTTCATTGATAATTTGCTTATGAACTGTCATAATTTCCTCGTGAGTGTATGGCATTGAAGGCATTGGACGTGCTGTTTCAGAGTGCTGTGTGCCAGTATATACGCTATTTTTTCTTACTAATTTACTGTAATATGGACAACTTGTTGAGCCGACGTTTAAAATATGTTGAGCAGAATTTCGAACTTGTTGCAATGTTAACTGAGCCAAAAACGGACATTTTAATGCTACCGTTGCCATTTTACGCGGAAAATTACTGAAAATTTAAAACTTATTTGTGCGTGGTTCGTTTTATCTGAAAAAAAGCAGAAGACAAAATGTAGAATAATTTATTTTGACGCATTGTTTTTTTCGATATAGAACATGTGTTAGCTAGTAAGTCATTATTTCAAAATAAGAAAAGAATGTCACACGATGTTTTGAAACGGAAACAGATGTTTAAAATACTATCATTCATTTTGTAGTAAACAGACAGAAAAGAAAATCTCTCTCATTTAAAGGTATTTCGGAAAGATTAACAAGTTGGGCAGCTTTCCAATAACAACCGTATGCTTTCATAGCATAATCTCGGAATCGTCGTTTAAACACGTGCGTGCACGTGTTCATCTATTCAGAACATTATGCACGATCGATTTCAACTCATTTTTCTTTTTCGTATTCTTACATTCTTAGAACAGCATGCATAAACTATGGATATACATAACAGACGGCAGTACAAATCGTAAAGTACACATACATTTAAATAAATAACCTGTTCGTAGAATCAAACGAGTTAAGGTAAATACGAATCTTACCTTTATCTCACAAAAACTTTTAAGAAATGTAAATAACTCAAGAAAAACAAAGAGGGCCGCATAACGCTGATAACCGGCCCACTTGATTTTTTCTATAAAAACAATTTTGTAAATAGTGGACAACTATTTTCAGTCGGTTTTGAATAATTTCGAGTGCCTCGTGTTTTCAAAATGTGTTTTCTTATGTTTATTTCATGTTACTACAAAGTAAATATAGCATTGGATGGCCCCTAAAATTCTCTGCAGAATGTGAGTAACATAACAGTTAACCACAGTGCTTTGATACCAGTAGAGCGCTTAGAATAATGCATAGCTCCTAAGATGAGAATGAGAAGTGATGAAAGTAATATAATGGGACAGAAGTCCAGGCATTTTGATTACTTTCAGTAATTAAAATGCATTGTGATAACAGAAAACATTATGCATGTCTGTCAATGACATTTAATTTTTATTGAAAATGTTTTTAAGATATGTATGTGCTTCTGTTATCTGCTAATAATGTTTCATGATCTTCCAAAATCCTTCTTTTTAGTTCTTAGCAAAGTCTAATTCATTTTCTGCTTCCACTTTTAAAGATGCATTTAAGTATAGTCGTACAATGATGAAAATGTTTATTTATTCTTCGTAGGTGGTCATCTTTCTTTATCGAAATATGGGATGTGTGATCTAAACAGCTTCTTGTGAAGGAGATCCAAAAGCATAATACAGGAAGTCTAGGAGTGTCTTGTAGAAGAAATCTCAGATCTAACCTAACGTAAGAGAAAGTGAAGTTTTTTACTCTAGTTCATCGTAATCTAAAACGTAATTTAAAAGCTTAAGTTCCACAAACATGACTTAAATCCGACATAATCTAGAGCGTAGTGCAAGAAATCGAGACCCGTTAAAAATAAATAACATCATATTGTTTGTATTAGGTTTGATAATTAATGCAACGCCTTATTTTCATTAAGAACTATATGTTCGTAAAACATAAACATTCACAATAGTGTTGCTGAGCAATTTAAGCAGATCATTTATAATCGATTTTTTGTACTAGAAGAGAATTTCTTTAATGCTTACTTAGTCGTCTTTGCAAATTGTGTATGAAATCATTTTTTAACCATATTATTGGTGAACTTTTCACGACTTACGATCGTTTTAAGATTGTATAGTAAAATGATTAGCTTACCTGATTTTTCTTTTTCCTATTTTGTTATTTAACATTTACCCGTTGAATTACATATGAAAAATAATACTATTATAATCCGATGAATATGACTCAAGTTAAAAATAAGAATGTACATTGGATATGTATGGATTTCTAAGAAAGCAATCAGAAAAAAAGAAAAACAGTAGATGGACGAATCGAATCGTTGAATAAAATATTTTTTACTATCATCATTAACTACTACAGTTTGAAAGATCAAAAAATTTCTTTTTCTTTGTCTATTAATTACGATGATTAGATAGATACAAAACACTTCTATTTATTTTATTGCTTCTCTCATGCAATAGTAAATATGTCACAGTTTCTTGGAAAAAAAGTAAACTTCTGTTTTGTATCTATAATTTTTCCTGCACGTTATGAAATTCATTATTTTTTTATAACTTACAGTGAGTCTATTAAAAATAGATTTTCATCGTTTTAATGGCTTGTCATTATCTTTTTCTGACATAAGAACAAAACAAATGTATTCACCAGCGTATAGAAACTGTCAAAATGTCTCCTTTTTCGTTTATCACCAAAGGGGGGGGGGGGGGCCGCGGACCGGGGATAATCGGCCAACTTCATTTTTTGTTTAAAAACAATTGTGTAAATATTTGACAATTTTTTTCTGTTGTTTTTAAATAATTTCGCGTACTTTTGTTAAGTAAAATCAGAGTAATTCTTCGTCAATAGGGCGCCAATAGCTCATTTCTCAAAGATAAGCCATAGGTTACGTAAAGTATGTTTTCCACCTATGACCAGTCTTGAAACTCCCAGCA